AACTATCCAAAATTTGGGTGACAGCAATCAAAACCGTATTAGAAACAAATGGCAATTTTGATGTGAAAAAAAAAGAACCTCACACGATCGCTGAAGAGTTGATTAAACCTTCTACTTAAATTGCTAAAAAACAGTTTTAGATTCTGAAGACAAAAAATCCAACAGATTCATATCGAATGATATTACGAGCGAATACAAATCTCAGTTAAGATATTTTTAATGCAGTAATTGAAGACATAAAAATCAGCCTACTAAAAAAAGCATGTTTCGATGAGTCAACTGATGTTGATATTGTACCAACTTTGGGTATTTGTCAGGTATGTTAGAAAAGACGTGATAGAAGAATTTCTATTTTGTAGCCATTGGGAGGGAATACGAGAGGAATTTCATGTTTTCAATCGCATGAAAGATTTTTTTACTAAATATCAATTACCAATGAATGTGATTGGCTCAATGTGCACTGATGAAGCCCCAGCAATGTTAGGCAAAAATTCAGGAATTTTTTCACACATGAAAAGAGAATTACCAGAAGTTATAATAAATAACGCATTGCATGTTGCATCGTCATGCACTTGCGTCGAAAGCATTGCCAGAAAGTTTAAAAACAACATCTAACTACAACAGTAAATGTAGTAAAATACATCCGAGAGCAAGCGCTTAATCATCGCATTTTCTGTGCATTTTGCGAAGAAAACAGTGCTGATCATACCGTACTCCTATAACACACCGAAATACGATGGTTATCTAAGGGTCGCATGATTAACAGAGTTTTTGAATTGCATGAGGAAATTATTCAATTACTGACTAGTCAAAACTGTTATTTAGTGAAAGATTTTGAGAGTATTGATGCAATGCTGAGGCTGGCCTACTTAGCAGACATACTTAGCCATTTAAATGAATTGAATCTATCAATGCAAGGATTTGGTATAAATATAATAATATCTAGTGAAAAATTATCTTCATTTATCGCAAAATTAGAAATTTGGATACGTCGAGTAGAAAAGGGGAATTTTACAAACTTTCCCTTGCTTGATTCTGTTATTGCGAAAAATGAAAAGAATGCAATTATACCCGACATTGTAATACATTTGAGACGGTTGAGCGAATCATTCAATGGATATTTTTTTACCGGAAATATTACCAATACTCAGAGATGGATACTGGATCCATTTCTATTTGACTTAAATTTAATGGATGATAGTGATCTGAAAAAAGATCAACTTCTTGAAATGCGAGCAAGTGGACATGTTCAAATGGAATTCGAACAATCAGAATAGCAACAATTCTGGTGTTCACAGTTACAACGTTATCCAGAGTTGGCGAACGGAGCACTGCAGTTACTCTTACCCTTTGATACCATCTACTTGTGCGAAATGGGATTTTCATCGCTTTTGCACATAAAAACTAAAGCGAGAAATCGCTTAAATGCAAGTGATGACTTACGCGTACGTCTTTCAAAAAAGGAACTTCCCTTCTCCAGTATAAAAATGAACAAACAACAGCAGACTAGTCATTAATAAAAATAATATTATTTTGTATTTATATAAAATGTACAATGTTTTTCAATAAACAATAAGGTTCGCAAAAAATGTATTTTTCTAGACTAAAAAAATTAAAACACATTTTTCAATAGGGTGCAGAGATATGTTTTCAGATTCAATGGGGTGCGACTCGATAGAAAGGTTAAGAAACACTGCTTTAGATGCTTTAAGTTTATATATATATATACCCATTCGAATCAAACTTTGCAGCTCAATGGCCCCCGAAAATATATACAATCGCGGATTCCCAAGATGGGTAAGATATTCTTCCTTTATCTTACTCCCGTAATAGCCTCTAACTATTCTATTGGAAATGTATATATACACAGGATTTAAAGCAGTGATTTTCAACTTCTTTTGCCCTACGCACCCTTTTCATCATTGCTAAATGATCAGTCCTATAGTCGTTACCCAAACTCAAAATACATATACATTTATTTAAATTTAGATTATTTTTATTGACTTTTATAAAACAAACAAGGAAAAGTGTAGAAAATATTGATATCACAAATTAAAATTAAATACTTAAAGAATAAATCAAAAGCTGACTGCATTCCTCCTTGAAATTATGAAATTCTAAAGAAACGTCCGTACGCACTACATTTATATTAGAATGAAAGGTCCCGGATGGTATACTTTGGATTTGGTTGTAGTAAAGTGAATATGCCGCATCAAATAAAAATTGAGAATAGCGAAAAGTTCTGTCTTTAACTTAATTCTATGACGAAGAAATGTAATAAAAAAGAAACAATTACATCAATGCACGGAATCATTCAATGACTAAGAATTAGTATTCAGGAATGTACCAAAGTGAAATAATACAATTCGTACGGAACCCAATATAAAACTGGGTTTAGAATACATTTTTTTTTGGCATAAACACGATTGTAGACGAATGTCTATCACTTTTTTTATCTTACGCCTGCCATACTATGCTCGAGAAATACTTTCCTGCCAAGGGTCATTCGTCCCCCCCTTCATGGTATTCATTACCTATGACAAGAATTCATATTCATATTCAGCCATAGTTCTTCAACATTTTGAAGACGCCACTGAGGGCTTAATTTATGCTCTTCACCTTCGTACTGAAGCTTGAAAAGTAGAGGCATGTCTTAAGCCAAAAACCTCCGAAATCATTCGAATACTCGAATGTTAGGGTCTTTAGGCATTATTAGCCTTCTGTGCCGTAAAGCTCAAAAATACTTCACTATACTTCATCGAAAGGGCAGCTGTTCCACTTGGAAATGGCCACTTGGGCGTCTATCAACCTGCTTAAGCGCTGTCAGTGATTCTAAATACAGCCATATGCCCAAGCACATATCCTCTAAAAGCTGCCTTATGGGACTAAATTATTCTATTGTGAATGTAAGCCACAAGGCAAGAAAGAAGAGGACGATTCATGCGCTATATTTTAGTTGAAATACAGATGTTTTTCTCATTTTTTCCGATAATTTCGAGAGTGATAAGTGTACTGAGACAATGTAAGGTATCTAAATCTTTGTTAAGCTTTCGATGCAGTGCTACTAGTCCGATGAGTATCGTGGGATAATAATAAACTATGACGAAATGGCAGAGATGTCAGTCACGAGTAAAGCCAACGTTTTCTGTATAGTTCACATTAATCAAACAAAACGTTTCCAATACAGAATAAAGAGACGAGTAGTACGGCGCCAGGTTCTTCATTCAGCAGGCCTACACATTCGAGTATTCGAATGACTTTAAATCTTTATGTTAGTGTATGCCTCTCCGGACTGTGGAAGAAACGTCAAGTAACTAGAAATGTCAATTAATAAACGAATAGGTGTACGAGAATATTTTGAATAAGCACAAAATTTGTTGTATATGGCAGAAATATCATTAAAAATGACAAAAAATCGTCATAACCATATTTACTTCAAAACCATGCATTCTAGATTCTGTACCTATGATAATGGCTGTAAATGACAGATATGATATATAACTAATACTTATTTCGCGTGAGTGATGTATGACTGATAGTTATTGTAACTCAGTCAGTGACGTATGACTGATAGTATTGTTGTTGGATGTCTATGCTTAGAAATTACCCATGTGATCAGAGAGTAATAACGTAACGTATTCTTTCGTGTATAAGCCGCATTTTTTTCCATAAAAATCAGATGAAAATCAGATGTGCGGCTGGTAGACGACTTTTTAACATTCATTCTGTTTATAGGAATATACAGTAGAAGTCCATTAGTCCGGCATCCAACAGTCCGGAATGCCCGATAGTCCGGCATCGCTCCGGAAAATTGTAAAAATTTTGGTTTTCTCCAAAAGTGTGTCTTTAAAGCAAATAAAACCGCTCGAGAGCTATTCGGAAGTTTTTTCGGGGGTAGTTCGAGATCATCCGGAAGCGCTCGGTATTGTTCGGAAACAATTAGCGGCCGGCTAGTCTCAGCTGTCACAACAAATTCAGGTGCAGTGCAGCTCCGTTAATCAATCACGAAGCGTCTTCGCCATTTTTTTGTGCGTTGTTGTTTTGTGTCCTTTCACATCGCAGTAAACGTAACTTTTGAAGCTGTTTATAAAAAAAGTGATTTTCGTTCTAACAGTACAACAGTTCTAACAGTAACTGTACAGTGACCATGTTTTCAAAACCTAAGCCTTCGAATTCAAAAGGAGAGAAACGAAAACACGTAACACTGACTCTCAATCAGAACTAGAAATCATCAAACGGCTAAAAATGACTCAGATGCCGAAACGGAAGAAAAGGAAAAAATCAGCTGGGCAGAAGCTGCAGAATCACTAAATAAGTTTATCTCTTTTGCCGAGGCTAGTACTAGCTACAGTGCTTCAGAAATTATTGATTTCCATATCATTAGAAATAAATTTTATACTAAACGCCAAAAGTCAAGAAAACAAAAAGACATTCGTGACTTTTTAAAATCTAAGTGAATATGTGCTGACCATTGCACCACGAAGGCATGCTAGAAGGCAGGAGAAATATCTTATAACTGTACTATTGATTGCTGGCAAGAACGTCCACAATACTCAAGAAGTCGAAAATGCAATAAATGAAAATTTTGCTCAAAAATCAAAAGACGAACTTTTTTTTATTTCAATTTGTGTGTATCCATACTTCATTACATTTTGATCAACCTTATAAATGATGCTCTAAGACTTTGTAACCGATAACTTTCTTATGTTTCATTTCATTGCAGAGTTTAAAAAATGATTTCATAATTTTAATTTTAGAGATTACAGCGCTTAAATTCATTTGCACATATCTGCTTTATCAGACACACATCCAACGTATACACTCTGAGTATGTTCATTTTACTGGGTATGTTCATCCTGACTTTTCTTTGAACCTCGTAGATGGGCACTGATATCAGTTATAAATCTGTAACGGTTTTGCAGACCTTGTGCAACTATTTAAATTTAATAACATTGACGAAATAAATAATTGTTTGATGGAAATGTAAACTGATACTTTACCGAATTAAGATTGCTCCTAAAATTATTGTAACGGCACAACATACCGCGTATATTAAGGCCATTTTCCACTCTGAAATAAAAACTAATTTTCAGTACATTTATTAATAAAAGTACATAAAATTTATTGTGGTAATATATATTAATTGCAATATACATTTTTGTAATCTATAAACTTCCGAACAATTTTTAAACGTATACCTTGGTATAAGAGAAAAAAAATCTATTACAAATAACAAGAAAATTAGGAAGTATAATTCTGTAAAACCACACTTAGGATTAAAAAAATATAAGACAAGAAAAAAGATTTAGTAGCTACGTAATATAAAATTAAAAATATAGTAGCAAGGAGAAATAAATTAATACGTAATTATCGTAAATGATAAGCACATATTTAAAGATATCTGGTTAACAATGAGAAATAATGATTTACTATTGTATGTAAAATTTGAAAAAAAAAGTATTTATTATTATATGTTAATTAAAAAATAGTTATTTGTTATTTCATACACATTCAATCAAAAATCAATGCATAATTTTAATATGTAAATCAGAAAAATTAAATTTAATCTTAGCCTGCATTCTATATCTTAAATTCAAATTTTATACTGTAAAATTCTGTTACAGATTGTAAATAAAAGTTTAAAATCGATATAAATAAGTAGTAAATAAATGACCTAGATAGATCACCTTGAGGGTAACAAAAAGCAAATGTACTTTTGCTTCTAACAAAGAGTATAAAACAAATAAAGAAATGGAAAGATATGCCTAAATTAGCAATTTAGATCATTTTTCAAATCTTGCTTTGTTTATAGGTTCATATTGCCAGCTGGAGGTTTCAGAGCTAAGACACACTGAGGGAGATTCAGATTTTTAAACTAAAAACATGATATGGAAACCATATGTCTTCCTTGTACCTCCTATTTAATTTTATACGTTTTTTGTTGCATTTCATTTAAACTTATTTCCTCAAATTTCATCAGAAATATATTTCTGATTCAGTCAATATAGTTCTCACTTCAAGGCAAGGCAGAAGTGCACAAAACTTGAAAGCACCTTCATTAAAAATTATGAAATACAGGACAGGACTAAGTGTGGGAAGCACCAACACATCGCCATTGGCAGAACTGGTGTCGCTCCTTCACACTAACCGTCTTGAGATGAACACCGCCACAGGGCGTATTTACGCCAGGCATCGGTGTTAATTGAAACGTTTATCATTAGGGCATAGAGAACTTGTGGTACGGGAGATACAGTTGCTGATGACGATGACATTACAAATACAATACCATACTAATTCAGAAGTCAAACAACAAAAATCAGCGCTAAACCTCCAAAATTTTCACAGGACCAGCCTCGAAAACCTATGAGCAGACGTCACGAAAAAAATTATTTTGAATCCATTTTACAATCCGTTTTGGAGAAAAGAATCCTTTATTCTGTTCGTACGTACAAATTTCACGCAAAAGCATCTTTCAAATGGATCCGAGAGCGGTCAAAATGGATATATTAGTTGAAATATGATACTCGAAATTTTTCTTGATTACAATACTTCCTTTACTTCGCAAAAGAAAGTAAAAAAGTCTTTAAAATCAGGACACGCATAAAATGCATTTTTAACGACACAATGATCTAAAAAAATTATGGAGACAAAATTATATAAAATTAAAAAAAAATTGATGAAGTTAAACAATAAAAATAATATGCAGAATGCCAAAATATTTTTAAAAGAAGAAAGACATTTACTTTAACGCTTTGGTGTTTGCCAGATGAAGCAATTCTTTCTCCTCAAATACACGCATTATCTGTGACTCGGTAAATTCCATAATGCGAGATGTTTTCGTATGTGCTTGCTACGGCGCAGAACTGTAATGGAAACTGACCTCGAAGGTGACCAGGAAAATTCAGAACTTTGAAGAGGATTTTAAGGGACCTTTTTTTCCCCTCATTCCAAGAATTAAAACTTTCTGGATAACATTTCCATTTAAAAAACAGCTTATTTCCTTTCCTCTTTATAATTTTCTCATTTTATTTTTTTATCATATTTAACCAATTTCTTTTTATAAAAAGTTTTTTCAATTTCCTGATTCTTCAGATCTTTCAGCCTGTACGTATGAGGATCTGTGTTTAAAACTTAAGTAATAAGAATCTCTTCAATAAAGTATTTATCGTATCCTCTTGTTAAAACGGTTTAAATTTAGAAATCCTTAACTGTATCACCGATTTTAGATTTCGGCGTTTTAATTTCTCTCGGCATTTTGTCATAAATTCTTAGAATGTACGTCTTCATTGTCTTTAATAGATGCTTCAACGGGTGTGATTTTTATAGATCGAGGATACGAATTATTATAATTTTTAACTAGCACATCTATATATCTTTTAGTTCCATTTGCATCTAAATATTTTCTGATCTACTCATTCAAACTCTTATTAAATCTCTCAATTATAGCACATTTAATTTCTACATTTTCTGTATCAAATCAATGACTATTATTAACATTAAACAAGTTTTGAGTATTTTTATTGGTAAACTCTGTTGCTTTATCCTTCTATTAGTCCACATGCGAATTAGTCTACATGCGAATTCTTGAATTAGTCCACATGCGAATGCTTTTATTAGTTCACATGCGAATTTGTTCTCTAAAAATTCTTTTAAACGCATTTCTGACTTATTCTCCTGTTTTTCTATTTATGTGAATAGCCCACATATTTACTAAAGACTAAGTTCGGTCAGCAAATAATTTGTTGCTCCATTATATTCGCTAAAGGGCTCTAAAAATAATAGATCTCCTTTCCATTGATCGTTAATTCTAGAAACCTATATTCTTCTCGTTTGGAAATTTCTAATGAATAGTTTATATTTTGTATAAACATCTTGTTGATGGGGGGGATTCTTTTTCAGGCATTTTGGTTTTCCTCTGCTGTTCATTCCCGCCACAATATCCTGTTTTAGAATTATAATGTGCATCTTTTAACACGTTTTCTTTTGACAAGCCGTTTGAGCTAAAAAAGTACTTTTTTAGAGGCGAAAACATCGAAAATATCTTCTAATATAGGTCTGTTGTTTTCAGGAAAAGTTTCATGCGAATATTTAGCCTTTAAAACAGTATTTCATTCACATAGTTTTTTTTTTTTTTTTTCATTTCAAACAGTCTTCCATTCCAAATACTTTGTATTTTCCATTTTTTAACGCCAGAAATCATGTTTGTATGCTGTTTTATTCACCCTGTTTATAGGCTTAGACAATTATTTATAAATTGGGATTTAATGTCGTTTTTCCCCATAAAAGCTGCGCCCCAGGTCCTGTAAACGAGTACTTAAGCAAATACATTTCATAAGGTAAATTGTTAATGAGTTTATTAATAATACCCTTCTTCATTTATATAGCATAAAAAAAAACAAGTAGCCATTCGAGTTTTTCATTTTCAGGGCCCACCAGCGGCCGAGCGGTAAAGGCGCTGAACACGGGTAGTTCGGTCCGAGGTTCGAATCCCGCGAACGGGCTGGCTGCAGGGACGTTTTCGTGGTTTTCCCCATGTGTAACGTGTATACGAGCCAGTTTCCCTTAGAAAGTCTCCACGAAGGCATCCCTCCTCTTAGGCAGATAGCCCTAGTGTGCTTTGCAATAATTAAATACACCACACCTTTTCATTTTCAGATACTTTTTAATTTGGAAAAACTGTTAATCTTTAATCATGGTTTTAGCTTTCAGAGAACTTAACAGAGATTTACAAAGTTCATAAGCATACTTAGATTCCTATTTTCTTTCTGAATGTTTTAACGATTTATCTGGATTTCGATAATTTCTGTTACAATACTCAATGCAGTAAGGAAAAAAAAAAAAACATGAAGGCACATAACGGATTTGCATTAAGCAAAAATTTAAAGACAGAGAACGATAAAATGACGTCATTATATACTTTGAACTCTTTTTATTGCCATCACTATTTTGTCTATTTTACTAATTTTTTGTTACCATTGTTTGTGTTTGTTCGCATTTTTTTTCTTTGGTGTATGCTTTTGTCTAAATGTTTGTATTTGTTTTTTCTTCACTTTTCTGTTTTCAATTATTATTTTCATTTAGTTGTTTAATGTTTTAATTATTTTCCTTTATTTAAAAGGGCGTGGCCTGTTATGACCATGAGACCAACTTAGGTGGGTCGGGCTGCGCCCATTACTGATACTCTGTAACTCTTGCGGTAAACATATAACTAATCTCCTAACTTCTTTTCCATTTTTATGGTCTTTATGGTATTAATTTTGTTTATATCTAATCTTAGGATTTTAAAAATGATGATATCATGGCGTTCTTTTATACGTCTGTTATACATTTCATTAAATTTTTCGCTTATTAATTTCCCATCAGTTCTCATGATGTGTTGCATTTCTTTCGGTTGTAAATTAAAAAATATGAAATAGTTGCAGTTGATCCTTATTTTTAGGAACGTTGTAAGAAGCTTGAGTTAGATAAATGATAGACACCATTTTGTGTCAACTGGAAAAGCATAATTTTTTAATATTTGTCTGGTCTTCAGCAAGGCGATCATCGTATACAGTTACATTCTTTGCAAAAAATGGTTTGTCACATGTATTATATTTTCATAGTAATTCCTTTTATAACTTTTTATCGGTTGTAACATTTACGATATGTCTTTTTGAATACCTCCGAATCTTTTAATTTTTTTAAATCAATCAATTTTTAAATTTTTCAATTATTTATTTTCATGAATATTTTTAGCATATATGTATAATGTATCGTAATTTAAAATTTTCTAAATTTAAAGTAAAAGTAAATTGATTGAAATATTTGTTTTTTTTTTCAGCTTTGCTACAATCACAAGCCTGAAAGAGTGAATAGGCAGGAGAAACATTTTAATTTTTATCACTCATAGAGAAAAAAAAAATGCATGGTGCATATTTTGTTTAGCATGCTGAAAATTTAATCTAGTTATAAGCGAACATTATTAAAAAAGAAAACCACGCAAATGGTTTTAGAGGTCATAAAGTTAAAAAAAGAAACTATGCTAAATAATGAGAATAATTTACGAAGGAAACGAAAATACTGAAGTTTATTGAGAAATTTCATAAGCCTGTTGGTGACAGGATAGAGAAAGCCCGTACGTGAAAATAACAGAAGAAAATCCCACCAGAGCCATAGAAGGCAGGAAAAAATTCTGACGTTTGATTTGAATAAAGACTTCGATTTTAGTTTTTTGGTAGAAAATAATTTAGATCTACTTTCAAACTGTTTACGAATCTTAACGAAGAAAAAATTGTTCAAATGATTGAAAACGCTAGTGATTAAAAAAAAAAAAAAAAAAAGGATTAGGTAAAAAAGAGGCTAACTGAAAAGCAAAATTTCTGGAGCTAAAAATTTGATTGAAGCAGAAATTCAAGAAAAGAGATTGACTGCAGGGGATAATGATAAGAAAATGTGATGGAAATGTATTTGGAAAGATTATATAAAATAAGAGGTTCTTCAAAATTACTGACAGGCAAGGGTTCAGAAAATGTATTAGATCTTTTAAAGATGCTAACTCAAAAAAATATGGAATGGTTTTCAATGCAAAAAGACAGTGATGTTGCTGATATGCATTTAACAAAATATCCAATAAGGGAAATTCAAAATGGAGGAAGAATAGCTAGAGCAACAATCAATTACAATAGAACAAAGAAGGAGGATTTATTTCTTTTCTGATTCCTGCTTAAACAGCGGCTGCGACAGCTACAACTCCAAGTGCAAAGGCAGGGGTCGGTGTTAAGAAACTTCTTGGATCTGGAATCATCTCAAAGGTCTGGAATCATCTGATATAAATTCTGAATTTATATCAGCTTTACAAAATGTAATAAATGAACATCAAGGAGGACGCTTAAAAATTCCCGAAAAGGGGAATGTATCAAAACTGGGAGTTTTCACCAAAAGTATAGAAGATAATTTAAAAAACGGAAAAGCTTTTAGAGCAGCTTTTACTTCAGATTTACAGCCCAAAAGAATGAAAAAAATTTGAAAATGGTGTTATCAATTTAGAAGTATTTACATGGAACTCATTAGGTTTTTTATTACAACAAACCGAATTACATTTTTTTAATATTTTGATTCTTTTGGTGATCACACAAAATTAAAAAAAAATTCAGAAAGTATAATAAAATATCTCAAAAAAGGGGAAAATAATACATAACGACTGTTTTCTACAAAAATATTTCATTTATTAGCTGCGAGTTTTACAGCATGAAATATATAACCGATTAAAAATAAAAATCAATTTTCTTTAGAAGTTTTTCAAATTCCTTTACTCAAACCCCTGATGATTACAACAAAATGTTTTCGATATTAATGAAATAGTTGGTTTTAAATTCAAGAGATTAATCGAAAGAAAATTCATGACTGAATTTGCTCATCCGCTTAAAATTAAAAAAGTAGCGCTCAAGGGATTCAGCATTTTTGTTTCTTGGTACACTATAAGTTAAAATAATACCTTTAAATACTTTGGATGGATTTCAGTGGATCGATTTCATTATTCCAGACTGAAATTATGCAATTACAGAGTTTAATGGTTATCAGGAAGATTATTATTTTTAACAACTTGGAAGAAAAAGTACCGAAATATGGACCTTCCATTCAGTTTGGTATACTGAGTGCAGGATTTACATATAAACTACACAAGCTATAGCGTTGGCCCCAACAAATAATTAAAATATAGTATAAATTTAGTATTAAAATATATTATAACAGACTTATAAAGGACCCCATATCTGAAATAGCTTAGGGCCTTATCAAGTCTAAATCCGGCTCAATCACTTTCAATGCAATATCCTAAGAGCTAGACAACGATATACTATCAAATTACTGAATATATATAAAGTAGATATATCTAGAAATCAACATCACAAAAGACTGTGATTTGAAAGCATAACTTATGAAGAAAGCAGACGAGAAGAAGAATATATCGCCGACACAACAAACGAAAATAACGATACCTACAAATTCATTACGATATTTAGGAAAGAGCTTAATCAATGACTTCGGATGTTATTATTTTGCATACAAACAAATACAAGCAGTCAAATTGTAGAAACGATTGATAAGCCTTTATTTTTTTAATGTAAAACATGAAGAAGTTTAGAGCATTACCATGAAAATTACAAATCAGAGTTATTAAACCTGAACAAGCAAGAAGTGGAATGCAGTTTAATATTTGAATCTGAAAATGAAGAAGGGGATATTTAAGAAAAACTTACGACTTAAAGTTTTTTCCTTTACAAATGAATCGCCATAGATATTATGCAAAGAGTATAAAAGGTCCAAGGAAGAGGATTTTTAAAAATAATTTAACCAAGACTGGCAATGAGGCATTAGAAAAACTAAATCTGTTGTTCATGATAACCAGATACAAAAATTTTCTATGACAGGTCAAAAGTTTAAAAATAGATAAGTCATATTTTATTTTTAAATAAATAGAGAAAAGATTTATGTTCTGAGTAATAAGAATTACTATTATAATCGAGATATAAAGAGTTATGAATATAAAAAATTGAAAAACAACAAAATGTTGATCTCAAGGACGAAAACGCAAAAACAGAATTTTCGCTCAAGAGTTACGATGACAGTTTTCTGATTTCTGAAGGTTTTCTTTGTCAAAAACTTAAAACCGTAAAATCAGACGGTTTTTCTATTAGGATTGACCATATAACATTTACAATCTTCTGACCGGCATGGGGCTTCACGAAGAAAGCCCAAATTTTCGAAAACTGTGGTGAGAAAGAGATACTTTCTTGATTTTAATGTAAAATATATCTAGTGTTTTATGCTTGTACTTATGTGCTTTTAAATTATTGCCTTAATAGTACCTTGGACAAATTTCAAGATGCACGTATATATACGTTCTTTTAGACATCAGAAAATATTCTCTCTCTCTCTCTATATATATACCGCCTTGTCATTCAGAAGGTTCGTTTGAGTTTGATTAATAAAATGCGTTTCAAAATAGGAGTCACTGCCACTGGGAAAAATCATCAAAACATGGCTCTCACGTTACAAGGCCTGAGTTTAAAGATCTTCACGATTGATTATTCAAATTCTGAGCTCACCAACGCGTTTTTCTACAAAGATACATCCGATCATCATCACTCTTTCTTTACGTTGTTCTGAAACAGATGAAGATGTAAAAAAGATATCAGATATTACCAAAAGAGTAAAACTTATCTCACTTGTGCTTGGTTTAGAGCTGAAAGAATTATAACTCGCAGAGATCAGAGGGATCACACATATATATATACATTATGAAAGTTATATATTTTTAGAAATGTCAAGATGTTCTTCTTTAAAAGAACGACTGAAGAAAGCAATGCTACATGGAGAAATGATGTACTACTTTTAAAATATTATTACCTGTTATTACCATACCTGGTTTATTATCACATTTTTCACCCTTAAATCCGCATCTTGGCTCACTCAAGGGAGGTGCTCCAGCTATCCAGTTGATGGCACGCTCTATCCTTAGAAGCTGAAATGCACAGAATATTAACTGTAAAACACATCGCAGTACATTGTGAACTATTAAATATAGTCATATTCACAAAAGCGAATGCCCAGCTTAAGTAATTTTATTGCTTGTTGCATATTTTTAAAGTGAGATTACTGAATGTTTTGCAGAATTTATATATACAATAATACAGCTTTTATCTTCAGTATTTTAATCATGCCCTAATTATCATATTAAACGTTAAAACAACATCATTTAAATTGTATACAATAGAAACTTCAGCCAGAAAATGAAAAATTTGCATGAAAATTGCATTTTCCGGCTGAAGTTTCTGTTGCTTTTCTGGAAGCAAAAGAGCGTTTATCACACAAAAATATTAATAGCACATTTATTATCACAATGAAAATATATTTTATGCAATCGACAGTACAGAAAATTAAAAATTCTACTAGTCAAAAAGTCTGAAATATCTAATACAGTTCATTTGGTTCCTGTTAGTTGGATAAAATCTTAATAAACCGACATACGCGTTTAATGAAATAGAATTCAAGCATTATTATTATTTTCTAGGAAAAGAAACAAAGTCCACTCGTTAAATTTGGGAAAGAAGAGTTTATTTTTTATTTGTTTTGAATCCCATATATAGATTCTTTCATTTTAAATTTACACGACTTTTTTTAATCAAACTCATATTCAGTTCTATGGGAAGAATGTAAATGTAAATGGATTTTTTTCTTTCCGTAAACTTCGAAGAAATGGAATTTATGAAATGCCTTATGGGCATTTCTGTAACAAACTTCTATGATGTATTCGGAATGAAGTTGTAGAGTCATTCGGTTTTTTTTAAGTAGGATACGTGAAAAATGTGCATTGCCCTCGCCGGGACTTGAACCCTGGACCTTTCTAATACGCGTCAAGTAAGCTTCTATACACCAGGAAAGCTTGAGGAAAGGAGAAAGAACATACTTTATAAAGTTAAATACGATACGCTTTGTTTTCAGTGTTCGACAATTTTTCGTTATTTGGTTAAGAATGAGCCAAATTTTCAGTTTAAGCTTAGTTTGTAGCAGTCTTTTATCTTCTTCTAGTTGTCATCTCGTTGCATAATCCGATGATGTACGGCATTTAGTAGTTTCTCTTTTGGTGTTTAGTAATAAAATATTAGCCTCTAAATGTCTGTGTTAGATCCTTGCTTGGTTTATAACATTATTTCAACAATCTTTACGAAGTCTAAAAAGGCCATTAAAACGTTTCAACAAGAAACGGAGATTTATCTGGAAGGTTGTACGCATTGCCGTGCTCGATTTTATGCACCGATTGAAAATTATGCCAAGCAAAAAAATTTATTTATCTTAATATAATGAATAGGATTCTGATCTTGGAGGCATGTTCGGAAGCTCTTTCTCCGAGAAGCTGCGTAACTTGACGTAATTTACACCATAACGCATTTTACAAAGCACTTCAGGTATTATTGTCTACTACTTGGCTTCTAAACAACAGATTACTAAACTATAAACAAACTAAATATTAACTGGACCTTAATATTACGTTAAGTGCTGTTAAAAATCAAGCTGAGCTCATGCATACTAAGCCAATAATAATATATCCATACAGCACAACCCGACAATAGAAGGATTTCCTTCAACTCTCAAAATGGCACTTACTCTGATAGGCCTTGATTCGATGAGATGCCGATAAAAGTTCAGGGTATCTGTTATCATTATCTTAATTGCAGGTCCTTCAGTTGTTATAAATTTTGGCCTGGTAATAATGTAGCATTAAAGTAAAACTTGAGCTGACGAAGAGACATCAATTGAAATTATGGTAGAACTTTGATTATTCGAAGTAATTGGGGCAGTAACTCAATACGAAAGTGCAGATAGATCGAAATTTGGATAGAGAGGACTAATTTTGATATCAATTATTCTTTCGAGAAGGGTTTTTTGAAATTATTCGTTTCAAGTTTTAAAATATTGTGTAAAAGCGAGGATAACACAGAGAAAACTGTTTATAAGTAAATATAATTTGTTCCTTTCATTTGAACAAATATTCCACACAAGATTATATTTAGGATAAAAATATTTATAAAACCTAGAATAAACAAATTCCATCAAAATTTCTGCAACTTGAAAGTTTGTCAAATTTGTTATTGCATTTTATAGGGCATTAATGGGGGGAAACATTGAAACACCCTTTGTGGGGATAATCCTATTATTACTCTAGCAACTGTCGCAAGTTCAGCTGTCAAATTTTGATCACCAAAAGATCCGTAGGAGGAACATTAGGGAGTTGTTCCAAAAGATAAAAAACTGATTCCCTGCATTCTCTATTTATCCATTTTGAAGTGTGTTCTAGAGCAATATCTTTGTATCCTTTTATCTTCTGGAACATGTCTATGAATTTGTCGTCAGCTGATGTAAGTTCCGGTGCTTTCATCTTCAATACACTTAAAACAGATCTTTTATCGTAAGGCTTTTAAACAAAAATTCACTCACCCATAAAAAGAGGTCAAAGACCAACTGCTGATAATAGAATACATAAGTAGCACTAATTTTCCCACAAACTTCTATGTTATTACTTTTATGATTTCTTTAAACTGATTGTAGGCTCGGTTAATAGAGGGGCTTCATTGATAGAGACCCGGTTGCTAAATGTTCTCTTGTACAGACGTCTGGATGAGTGAATCAAATGGAATTCACTATCGTTTCTTTGAGCTGCTCTTTGTTAATTCTTGAAGTTTAGCGTGATGCACTATCAGGTTGTTACAAGTTGTTACTGGCCATCAACAGTAGGCAACAACAATAGTACGAATGTGTAAACCTGATCCACAGCATTGATTATATACACTCACGTCCATAAATTAAGAATAATGCAAAATCAGGCAAAGGAAGAGTTAGAAGCAAAACAAATTTGAATGGTAAAGCTTACTTAAACAAAAGGTAAGAGCAAAAAGAGGCGGGCGGTGATTTGAAAAAAAAAAAAATTAGCGATTTTTTCTTCCGCATACAAAAAAAAAAAAAAAAAAAAAAAAAAAAAAAAAAAAAAACCTATGTAAAAAAAAAACAATATTACATGGTGGTATGATTGTTAAATAAGTGTCTCCAGACGATGCAAACAGTCCGTACAACGCCTAGGCATGCTGAGTAAAAATTTACCGATCGATTCTGGGGGGATATTACACCACAAAAAAAGCAATGCTCTCCGAAGTTCCGGTAGACATATAGAGGGAGTTGACGGGCTGCAAACTCGTCGGCCAAGCAGTCCCACACGTGCTCTACTGGATTCATGTCCGGTGAGAATGCTGGCCAGTCCATACGGGTGATATCCTCCGATTGAAGGCATTCGCTTACGATGTTTGCACAGATCAAGGCCGAAAATCTTATGCCCATGTTATGCAGTTGTCAATTGAGTGCAACTAGCAATAGGAGATATTGTTTTGATTATATGGTGTTAGGATTGGTCTACGTAACCGATTGAGTCAATATTCAATCAATAACTGCCCTGTCATCTGAGTGCACGTCTAGGCTGCGGATATTGTGTATAATAAAAGTAGGCCTCTGGTATCAGACATCTATAATCAGTACACCAGCTAGACAAATGGTTCGTCATTTGTTCATCCTCCATTTGAAACTACTAATACAAAACTTTTTACACTGATTAGACATACGGACGAAAGAAGTCAAACAAAATTACATATAAAACTTGATCTTGACTTTTGGAAACCTTGCGAGAGACCGGTAGTTTTTTAGAGAGCCCCAGGTTAAAGAAAGCCCAGTCTTTATATACAAAGCTTACAGCATACACTGTATATCCCCTTGAGGACCAGCGCGCCGGAAATAAAACTCAGTCACGGGAACGAACGCTCTGAAACGGAGCGTCACTACCGGCCGCATTTTAAGCAGTTAAGCCTAAGTTTGCAAAAAAATTCGTATAAAATCAGCATTTTAATAAAGACTCCAATTATAAATTATATATATACTATACTTCTATTTAATAGGTATTAAAATAAAAAATATAACGTTAATACAAATAATGAAATATGCAAAAAACTAAATTATTACTATGCACATGAAAACAATACTAACACAATAAAACAAAGCTGCAAATATTACAACACAAATAAAAAAGAGTAAATTAAGAATAATAATTCTGATAAATCGAAATTTAAAAATCGCGGGGTGTGTGATTAGTTCAAAACAAGGATCCACACAGAGTCCAACATTGCATTTTGCACTCATAATATGATTTTGTTTTCGATTTTTTTTAGCACATACGATCGTCTTCTACTTTTATTTCCTTTCCATCATATAATTTTGGGAAAAGTCTACCAGTTAGACGAAATGGAGGAATGCCCGTAAATTTTGAACAAGTTTTTGAGCTCCTTGGTTTAGCGAATTTTCCTATATTTGATGAATAACTTTGGATCTAATTCCAAAGCAGATAGTTTCTCGCCTTTACCTTCGAATATATTACATTTGCATTTAGAAGTGCCATATCTAACAAACCAAAAAACAGCTTTTTATCCATTTTACTACGGTTTTTCTAAATGCTGGTAGTGATGAATAATAGATCGCATGTCAACACCCCCCATATGTGATTATACTCACAACGCAGTGGCTTCAAAATTCCCTTTCCAGTCTTTCGGTCTGTTTACCATTGGCAAACCCCGTCATGTATATTTGATAACACAGCACTTTTTCTTTTTGTCATTAAATGCAATAAATTCAGATTTTCCGATCACAATCCCTTCTACGAACACACACACCCGAAAAAAAAAAAAAAAAAAAAAAAAAAAAAAAAAAAAAACGGCGCCAAACTGAACATAAAATTTTACTCTACCCGTTGCTAATCGCTGAATGTACTCCCTCATATTCTCCTAATGAAAAAACAAAAAATAAACAAGTCACTTGAACTCACACGTGCCCTTTCAAACACCCGTGTTTCCAGTTTGTTTATATTAACTAGAAGAAATTCTTTCCTTCCATTTCACTATTGATTAATTCATCTATCGAAATCTCGCTCTGTCAAACCTTTAAAGAGCCGTGATTCTCATTTGTTACATCAATAAATATATCAAATACAGTAGCATAGAACAGAAACCATGCCCGTTCATGAAGGTCAAATACCCATGAGTCGACCGTTGTGAAACCGTTGCCGGGTTTAACGCCATCTAGTAGCATTAAAAATTCAAAAAACGTTCCGATTCCGATTACGCATACGCGACGCTGGTCTCTCCATATCAATCGGAGCTCTTCGCGTGGAAGCGACGTTGGGCTGATAAGAGTGGAATCGCTGCGTCGCGTCCACGCGACCTTGGTCACGAACGGGATATCAAAGAATCATTAACAGGTATGAGCCATGTAACAAAATCTATTGTTATGTATAGTATAAAGCCCCCAATATGCTATATTTGTCATATTTAGATAAATACTCAGATCACATGGACCTCTTAAGAATGAGTGTAACTGAAAATATAGTAATGTAACAATATTGGCCCCTTTTTCCTGTGAAGACATTACTGATTGTGATTTGATTAGTTCAAAAATCTATAATTCCGTCACTTTAGACGCATATTTTCTAGAGAAGGACAAATTATGCTTGCTTCATTTAAGTTCATCTCGTTGGCAATCACTTTCAACGCAATATAAACAGACTATTTCCAATAAACATGACTGAAAGTTCAAAGCTTATGGAGATGTTAGGATTGATTCTTAAATTAGTGCTAAGGTTAAATCGTTTAAGAAATCATAACACGTCAGGTCGACTGGAAATAATTAAAAGTATAAGAAAATTATCATGATTATCATGAGGGGAAAAGCAACGTGCAGGTAAGTAACTTACAGGTAAGTCTTTGGTACCCTGATGAGTGAATCTAGCTACAGGCATCATTTTTTGCTGTGGGGGCTCACCTTCCTTTACAAGAGCCATTACCGAGTAATTTCCTTCAGCATCTCCATTGTCATCTATCATCACACTAAAACCCATTATACCTAAAATGCAAAGTCACAAAAATTTTCTATCAATAAGCATAAAATTAAACTATAAAGAATAAAAAAGGAGCACATGACAATTTTTTAAGGAAGTCAATTTTCTTGAACGTGATGATTCTTGAACCACATAACATCAGTTATCAAGAAAATGTAAATTTATTGATCCAGCAGAACTTTACTCGTTGAAACTAACTGCAACAAAGTCGGTTTGCATTTTTTAATAGTGGCGGAGGTCTAATGGTGGCATTTTACCTTCAGGTAGCCCTTGGTCAGGCTCATTTTCAGAAAATGAGAAAAGGTTCATTTTTCAACTATGAAGCTAGTTCATTTTCTTTAATAAAGTTATTTAAAAAAATAAATATCAAAATTTGCTTTTAATTTTTTTTAATAAGCAATTTGTTTGTCTTTGGACATAACAGGAAAAATATACATCCGCAGTTTAAAAAAAATTTTAGAGATTTTTTATCCACTTATGGTTTTTTTAAAAAAAATGGTGAAGTGCTCGATGAAATGTGAAATTTTTTTTTAGTTTGAAAGCAAAAATATTGACAAGGAAATGCAGTTAAATACTTTGAGGTTAAAATTATAATATTTCATAAATAAGTATAATTTTATTTTACAACAAACACCTGATGAAAATTAATAATACTGTAGTTTGAAAGCAAGAATATTCATAAGAAAATGAAATCTTCTTTATATATATAAGCGGCTAAAGTGTTTGTCGTCGATAGTTTATTGTTGCCACTCCGAAAAATGAGCGTGGAAATTAACGTTTCCGCAGTTTTTAATTAAGATCTCGGCCGATTAAAGTCGTACGAAGATGAGAACGGGTAACGATGGGGAGAATTTTTTTGGAATCCGAGGATACGCGTCTCGAGTTCAACTCGGGGCGTTCCGTAGATAGTAGAAAAAGAATTTGGCACTAGCCAAATTACTCTAATAGAGAAACCCAAGAAAGAAAGTGGAAAATGTAGGGAAAACGTAAGGGAAAATTAGTTTTAATTAATTCTCGGCTAATGAAGTCCCAAGAGGACGCGAAGGGTCAAAATGCGTTCCCGTACTGCGAAACCACGTGTGCTTCGCTGAGCAGGAAAGCCAGCCATTTCGGAGGAGATGATGTTACTTTCCCCCTATTATATTTAGTGGTCTGTTTGTCGCCGATAGTTTTGGTGCTTGCGTACTGTACTAGCCAATGGGGTGAAGTTGCCATGGCACAGGGTGGCCGTTCAATTGAGACGTAGGACAAGTCCTGTAAAACTTGATTTGCTAGACCACCATAAGTCTCAGGGCCAAACGTTAAGCGTGTTGGCATTTTTTATCTGAGCTGCATTTGGACACGGCCAACTTTACGTTTGTCTGTTCAAGAGTTCGTGAAAGAACGGACGTAAAATTAAAAATGGGGAGGTCCTCTGCAAGGCGAGCTTAAAAATGGGAAAGATCTACACAGAAATGGTGTGTACAATAGATCTTTGACAGTGAATTAATTTCATATTTAAATACCTATTGATTGAGCTAGCGATGGGGGCTTTTAAGAAATGTACCGCCAGTGGTTTCCTTCATTGCACTCTACTTTAAGCAAAGCAAGTAGAAGGGAGAAACCCGTTGGGTTGTAAACAAAGGGGCGTCCTCGCCGCCTGCCCTGGGTAATTCAGTTTAAATTAGCAGACACCTTTGCACAAATCATTTTAATTACAATTTATAATATCTAGAACAGCGGTCATTTCGTATGACCGCTGGGCTTTCTAGTTTATAAATAATGGCTTAAAATTATAATATTTTACGGATAAACGCAGCTAAAAAATTCCTTTTATGAAATGTGTCTAAATCAATAGCAGTTCCCTAATACATTTACTTGCTTGAATGACAAAACTTAATTTGGGCTGTTTTTCAAAATGTATGTTCTAGTTTTCTGACATCTCTCATGCTTCCGTTTTTGGTAGTTCAGAAAGATATTTCAGAATAACTTATATTTAAGTAAACTGATTAGTGCATTTAAATTAAATTCACTGGAAATATGCTATTTTGTAGACTCTTGATTTGCGTACGACATAAAAAGATTTTATGTTATGAAATATGTATTAATTTTAAGTCAATGACGGAAAAAAAGGCTGATTAAAAAATTGGAGATGGCTGTTTTTTTGCTTAATGTGTGACAATTTGCATATTGCTCTATCACTTCGAACTTAGTCACGAACTCGTTTTCTCCAGAGGGTTATGCAGACTTTGAGAAGAGAGTAAGGATTTACGCAGTTAACTGGAATCGGTACTCGAATGGTCAATCATTCGATCGATTAGTTGATTAGTTGCCTGCAGTTATCCTTATGTCTGTCCTTATATCTGAGTTGGTGTACCTGAAGTACCGCAGCCGATGTCTGGTCATAAGCGTATCAGATCATAAGAACGGAACACTGGAAGTTGTTGACGTTGATTATACATGTTGGAATGAGTAACAACCAGAAAAGTTTCTGTCGCAATCAGTAAGCTAAAGATATTACGGTTAGCTTGATAACAAGTCGGGAATTGGGTTCCTCGCAGAATTATCTTTGAAATGTGCATTTTAGTTTCGTAAAGTAGACCGGTGATATTTATATTTTTGTTTGTGATGCTCTGACTCAATAAAAGTTTGAATGCTAAATGCTATTAAGTCTTTGTATTATCCCTTCCATCTCGATAACTTGGGAAAGGAAGTTAATGATACTTTGTAATTGGATTCCATAGAGCTAGCTGTATTAGTCACATTAATCCAAACATTTTAAAGCGAAACCCACAGGTAAAGTGCCATAACTGATTCAATGCTACTTTTCTATATCATTTCGTTATTTTATCATAACCTATTTAGAACTGAGACATAAAATGTTTTCGGAGAAAATTTTATTCACGAGAAATCACTTAGTCAGTAAAAAGAACAAAGCTAAACAAACTTACTCTCATAAGGCCTTGATTTTATGTATTGAAAGATGGCAGTTCCTTCAAGTTCGGATCTATTATCGGCTAGAGCTTCTGTTAGGGCACTCGCGTAAATCATAACTGCATCGTAAGCCAGACCAGCATATATTGGTACCTATTGAAGTAAAAGAAATTTAATAGCAGATTGAAATTTAATACTGTTTTCTTTAGTTTAATTCAGAATGTATCACACAAAATGCAACTAGTCGCTTAGAGTTGCATATATTTAAAATGCAAAACATAGAAAAAATATGTAATAAGTATTACTTTGTTACGCAGCTATAGCTGAAAGGGGCTGTTAACTTTATGATATAACATTCTGTTCTTTTCATTCTGGCTATGGCTGCTTTTCTCTCTTAAAATTTGCTACTATATACCGCTTACAGTCTCTTCAGTGATCTTATATTTTGTTTTATATCTTTGATTTGGATGAGATTCATTATTAACAGTGTGATCATCCAGGAGGAAAGGTTTGATGGAGTCCAAAATTATATTATGGCTGATTTGCATAAAATAGCAAGTTTAGAATATAAATGTGTTTTAGAGAGAACGGTATTTACTTTCGCAATGGAAGGAGAAAACTAGTTTCTTAAGTCTTCATATCAGCTAATGGGTGAGTAGATTATAGTAGGTTATAGTATTTACATATGTATTTCGTATTTTGTGGAACGCGATTTTGGTTCGAAAACTACAAAACAAACAATAATCAACAAAACGAATTCATATTGGACGCCCAGTTATATATACTCAATCTCCAAGAGCGACAGAGAGCACAAATGTTTCTCACAACTAAATGACGTATTTCACTCCGTCTATGAATTAAAATAACGGTTAAAAATTAACGTAATATGAAAGCATTATTAATGAGTGATAAATGATAGAGCTATATCTGTATGCAATATGCTATTCAAGCGTAAAACATAGGAGTACAGAGTAAAGAGGAGTGAATAATTTGAATACTTCAGTAACACAAAATTACTCTGTGTAATTCTAATAAAGTTCAAAATACCTGCGTTGAGAGCATTGAAATATATCAAAATAAGAAATAAATCACAATCTTGGTTTACCAAAAAAATGCTTCTGTAAAATAAACTGAAATGGGATAAAAGAAAGAAGTAATTACCAATAATTTATATGGGAAACATTTTTTTAGTATTCCTTGGCCACCAAAAAGTATGTCTCGTCATATTGAGTAATACGCATAAGTAACAATAAATGCAAGAATGGTGTGATAAACGCACAGACTGTATAAACAAAACTTTAATCTTGAAGTATTACAATTTAACAGTGCTATTTTACCTTTAAATTCTAAAAACAGAATACATTGGAAGGTTTAAAAGTAAAGAAAATGACTCTAACGCTTAAAATTGTGCCGTCTGACATTCAGAAATAAAACATACAGAATATGCGATCACAGAAAAAGGGAAAGAAGATCACCTATTACTATTTCACTAATTACTTGTTTCTCTTAAAGCGTTATGTCTGCAGTTAATAGGTTTATTTGCTCCAGTGTTGAAAATCGAATTGCACTGCTATATTCGTTCTTTCCTTCACATCATGCCGTGAATATCGCAAAATTTGTCTGCCTCAGTAAAAATGACATAATGAATTTCATGTAAGGATTACTTCAAATAAAATTCAATAAGGAGAATAATTAATAAAGATTGGAAAGTAGAAGAATTTTTTCTCCTAGTTTTTGAAAAAGCCAAAACAGAGTCATATGAACTAGAATGTGAAAAGAATGTCATAATATGATTACAAAAGGCTACACAAAATACAAATACAAATTTGAAATGGAGACGAAATATAACTGTTTACAATATATACAAGTGCAGGAGCGCAGGAGCTGAATTTACATCGGAAAATTCAAGTCACTTAAAGTTTATCAGCATACGGACGTAATTCATTGTTCTTCGGCAGTATATTATATTCAAACAACCTAAAGCTTCTAAGATGATAAAAAGTAGCAGTTTTCTTGTAAAAATAAATACAGCTTTTATCTAGAAATTTATCAATTGCTTTATTGTTAAGATCTTCATGTAGTATGGGATTACGCATGCAGAGTTGTGTTTTAGTAATGATATTAAGACATTGGTTTTTGTACTTGTGGGAGTATGAGTAAGTCTTTTTTGTTAAGAGTAGTTCATGCAGATGATGCACAAGCGAGGACTGGAAGCACAATGGAAATATAGGCGCTTCTTCGAGAGATCTAATTTGCAATATTTACCAATAATAGGAAACTAACAGTTAATGACTTTAGTGACTTTTCTTCTAATATTTACAGTATGATATTTCCAGTTTAGTTTACCATTAAAATAGACCAAAATATTTGGCTTTACGTACTTTTTGAATGATTTAATCAGAGCTTTGGTAACAACTTTTATTTGGTAAGGTGCTCATGTGTTTTTTATAAATTATTAAAAGCTGGAATTTCTTCGCATTGATGGATAATTTCCACTTCGTGACTTTAGCAAATGTCATCATCAGAATGATTCTTTATTCATAGATTTTTTAGTTAGGCTAATAAATGCATTGTCAGTTAGTATACCATGCAAGTTAACTGGAACTCTATATCTAAGAAAATTATGACTTTTTGTTTTTGTTACATGAAGTAACTGCAATAAATTTATTGAATTTGTTCAATACCGTTTTGCCTTCTGCTTCTGATTCTACTTCGTCCAAGAGTATTCGCTTTATTTTAAGTAACTGCAAATTCTTCTCGTATTTCATCTTCATTTAGTAAGACTGGCTGGAATACGAATACATAAGTTTTCATTTCTCTAGTTCGCCAATTTTCCTAATTCATTCCATGACGCCACTAAAGCTAACCAAATTCAGTGAAAATTACAAGGAAATCTGCACCGATACATGACAGCCGTACATATTGGCATCCACTTGTGGATGTACAGATGAAATCTTCAAAGATACCATATGACTGATTGCTTAGACAAGCGTATTTTATTTTCTGTAACACAGTTTTTCATAGGCATTTTGAAACATTTTGCAAAAAATGGCTCAAACTAATGCATCTTTATATACCTTTTATTCATAACCTGAACATAATAACATAAAAGTAATGTTGAAAAATGTTACCATTCTTTCGTAAAAGCGAAATCTCCTTCGGGTTTGATTTGTTACAGGAAAGTGGTTCTTTGATTTTCGATAAAAACGAAGTGGTGGGAGTCTTAGCTCCGTGACCAACTAGCGCTCACACTAAGATCTTGATATTTTGGCTTCGGAATCATGACTGCTGTTTTAACCAGCTGCATCAGTAACCGAGGTTACTGATGCAGCTTTAGGTGATGGATGCAGCGGCGCAACTATTATCTCCATTGCCAGTAAGCAAAATTTCGGTTTCACAAAATTACATATGGGTAGCCAATGTGTGGGGCTGACTATAGCTCTCTCTTCATTGCGCTGCTGTCTCTCGGCAGCATCTCGATATAAGGATGGTAGATGTGATGTTGCTGCATTGGTGACTTTGCAGCTGTGGCAGTGAACCTGAAGTGGCGAACGAAGGATTATTATAAAGAAAGCTAATATTGTTACTTAAAGACCAAGACAACGCTCATGGTTCCTAAACCAATACCAGTCTAATATAATTTTATTATGAATTTACAAACTTGAAAATACAAATAATATTTTTATTACTTTACAGTTGTTATACAATTAACTCCCAAATATAATAGTAAGACATATTTTGAAGCACATAATTCATACTCTTAATATGAAGAATTATACAAACCTCTACTTTGATGATATGATGAAATGGAATGTTAAAAGGTTCTGATTCTGAATAGTTGAGCACCAGATCTTTAAAAAATTCATAATCCGGATGAATAGGAGAACCTGGACTAAGCAACAGCACAGAGCGGAATGGGATTGGATCTGCAACCATTGAGGCAGCTTCGAACTCTGTACAGATATAAAGAAAACATTTATGCTGAATTGAAAAGTCTTGTATTTAAATAAAAAGATCAAGTTTACTCAACTAGTGACGTTTACCAGTTGGAAAGTTTTGAATATTTTATGAATTTAGCTGAACTAGTTAGAGTAATTTTTAAGGCATTTATAACGGCATAAAAAAAAATTAAAAAAAAAAAAAAAAAAAAAAAAAAAAAAACTGACGAATGAGAAAGGAAACTAATTTAAATCTTGATATGTTTTCAATAAAAACATATAAATTTGATTCAATAAATTTAAAAGTAATTTTATAGCGCAAATTTGTCGTATCATATAATAAATAATTCGTAAACCTAATGCGAGTTTACAGCAAAAAAATTGTACCGATTCTAAGTTCCAACCTCACTCCTTTTGTATAAGGTTTCCAATTAATTTGAAGTTTTAAGCAACACTTCCCTTTAAAATTAGGAAGAGTTCTGAAGTTCGCAAAAGTTTCAGAAGCTATTTTTTTGTTAAAAATCTGCTTTTAATTTTTGTCTGCATTTTTTCATTTACCACCATTTTGAAAGCTGAATGCTACTTATTTATATTATTAACTGCCAATATTAAAATTTTATTTTATTTATTTGAAGAAAATAACCTAATTAAGCTAGCTTATTTGGTTTGTAAGAATGATATATTTTGAGTAAAAATTAAAACTAGAAGAGGTACCTTTTCATGGAGATCCTAATGTACTCTCGAATGAGTGGAGAAATTATTTATTATTTAATGCTCTGCTGTCTGGAAAAGAATATTAAAACTATGCTTCTTTATTTATTGCTAATTCAAATACATTAGTATTGATTTAGCGTCGGCATTTGTCGACAAATATTTCAGGCAGAAGACAAATCTCTCACTTGAGATTATTTTCTTCATTCAGCATAGTTTATTTAAAACAACAGTTAGAAAAAAAAATAGAAGCAATAAAGGGAAGGTAAAAAAAGTTTTTAAGGAAAAAAAGATGTTTAAATTCCAATGAGTATATCGGAGAAGAAAAGAAATTAATAATTTTCTAACATGTTTAAAAGGAATTTCATTACTTTTAGTGTCGCCATCTGTTGCGACCAATATAAATTAAAAGCTGATTTCGTAATAAAGTGATCAAATAACAGATTACAAAACGGATAATCGATATAACTGAGCAGCTGATGCTAACATTAATTAAATATTGGTTAAAGTTAAAAATTAATTTACTCAATAGTTTTTCTCACTGTTGATTCTATTTGAAAATGTTTGAATAGGAAAATTCACTTTATAAGTCCGCAGTGCACATTTTTCTTATTACATTTAAAATACTAATATTTCTTGAAATGGTTTTTAAAATGCAAATGTCTGCAGCATAGGAAAACTGGTTATAAGAAAACAGTAAGCATAATTTAAAAAAAAAGAAGAAATCGCATTTAAAGTAAAGGACGTACCTCTGCGGATGTATTGGTGTTTTTTATATGGATCGTACACTTCATCTTCATCCAGTGATATGACAATGTATTCCCCTTTATCAAAGAGTCCTTCTTTTTGCATGATGCGCACGAAATCCACCAAAGCATAAATGTCAGCAATCACAACATATACTGGGATAGAAAAAAAATATTAAATTGGAAAACCATTGTGGAAAAAATATAATAACAATATTACTCTAATTTAAAGAATATAGGAAACATAAATTATTCGACTATTACCTTCTATAAATACGCGCGCACTGGAGATAAGAATGTTATATTTCGAACAGTGTTGTCAGTGCTCGCTTTCAAATTGTTCAATATCTTAATCAAAAATTTATTAGTTTTACAAAATAAAAATAAATAAATAAAAACATAAAAACTGAACGTTTTCAGATTTTATACTACGCCCAAAAGGGCATTTTTTAACGTTTTGTGTGTTACCTTTATTTATTAAATATCATGTTCTTCCCACTTAAACCACATAAAATTCAGTTCAACAGCAGTATTACGAAATATTTAAAAACAGCATATATTTATAATTTCCGATACACAGACTCGCGCGATGGAGATAAAAATTTTTTTGCCCTAGAGTGTTGCCATTGCTTGCTTTGAAATCGTTGAGTTTTTAATCAAAAATTCATTAAAGTTTTATTAAAATATTAAATAGATAAGCCGAACATCAAAATTCGGGCTTCCAAGTGTCCATGTTCGGTTGGAGGACTACATTGTTCAAAATTTAATGGCTCTAGGTACCGTTATTTTTTCACAATGTGAGAAACATACACGCATTTATGCAGATTCTTCATTATTTAGTTTCTTTAAATAATTTCAGGGCGATAATATTTGATTGCAACAGTTTGAAAACTCAATAGACGCAAACTGCCGTTTTGAAATTAATAGCGCTTCTGGGGTAACACCCTTTTGGGCTAAAAATAACAAGATTACTATATGTATATATAAAAATACGTAATAAATAAAAAAATCTGAAAGTTTTCAGACGTTATATTACACCCAAAGGGGCGTTTTGTAACGTTTTGTGTTTTACCTTTATTTATTAAATATCATGTTCTTCGCTCTTAGACCACATAAAATTCAATTGACCAGCAATACCACCAAATACTTAAAAACATCAGATCTTTAGAATTTTCGATAGGCAGCCTTCCACGATGGAGATAAAAATTTTTTTTTTTCTATACAGTGTTACCATTGCTCGCTCTGAAATCGTTGAGTTAGTTAATAAAAAAATTCGTCAAAGTTTTATATGTCGAAAGTTTTATATTTATCAAAATGTGAAACAGATAATAAAACAAATTCGGATTTCGGGATTTCAGGTGCCTTTGTTCGGGTGGATGATAACATTGTTCAAAATTTGAAGGTTTGCGTACCGTCGGTTTTTCACAATGCGAGAAATATACCTACATTTATGTACATTCTCCTTTATTAAATTTTTTTAAGATAATACAGGGCGATAATATTTGGTCGCAAAAATTTAAAAAGTGATAAAGCCTTTTACAGTGATTCAATGCAAAATCCCGTTTCGAGACTAATAGCCCTTCTGAGCTAACGCTTCCTTGGGTTAACAAATTGGAAATGCAAAATTCGGGTTCCCAGGTGCATATATTGGGATCAAGGATTACGTTATTCAAAATTTGATGGACTTAAGTACCTCCGTTTTTTCACTATGCGAGGAAAATTCGCGCACAGATGGAGATTCTTTAGTATTTATTTGTTTAAAAATAATACAAGGCGATATTATTTGGTACCAACAATTCGAGAGGTTATACACCGCTTATTGAGAGCCGACGCAAAATCTCATTTCGAGACTAATAGCCCCTTTTGTGTTAAAAAATAATTAGTAAATTTAAGTAAAACTTTGTGATTTAAAATGTTTATATATATAACAGAACAAATCTGGGTTTTAAAATGAACAACGGTGGTAAGCAGCTTAATATGAAGAAAGCTAATGTCATAGTGCTGATAAGGCACTTCTTCCGTTTTGTTAGCATGTCTTTGTCGTGTAATGGTCAACAGGCTCGGTCGTATTCGAGAAGTCGGAGGTTAGAGTCTCGGCGAGGGCATTCCTCATTTTTCATCTCGCCTGCTTTCAAAAAATACATAATGTCTTTATATGCTCATACTAAGATATTAATCCTGGAAGAAAATGTAAATTTAATACAAAAACAAAAAAAAAAGTGGTAATAGTTTTCAAGGAGCAGCCAAAAGAATTATCACTTGAACTGCGTTTCCTGAATTCCATGTGGATGAATTGCTAAAATATTAAAAACTTAAATTTGAAAATGGAAGAAACGATTTTTTATTGAAAAGATTATTCTCATTAGTCTACAGAATGCAGAAAAGTAAGTTTGAGGCATGGGAAAATGATGAAAATGCTAAAAACAAAAAAGTTCATTTGTCTGAAATCGAACCCAGATCGAGCTACCGCTGTTTAGCTACTTTACCGTTCAACTGCAGATGAGTTCTTAACCGCCCACACACAGGAAAAAAATCCTGAACACAATAAAATTAATCATTCTAACAGCCTAGCAACATGTACCATAATATTTTTATTTAAAGTTTTCTATTCTATTTGATAACGTAACTTATCATTACATTCATTCATTTATTCATTTAGCTTTCTGTCTGTGAACATTTTCTTGTCATCACTAATATATATTAGAAGCGGCCAAAATTAGCTACAAGATTTAACACAAACAAATCAGTCAACTAATAAACAATGGAATAAGTTAAATAAAACTATATAAAAAGGAAACGCCTCAGATAAATGATCTTAGACTGTTTGAGAAGGAAAGTACTTTTAAAAGGCAGAAGCCGCCAATATTTAACTTCACGCATGTTCTAACGTGTTCTTTAATTTTATCGTGCATTCACATTTGATACGTAAACAAAATAATGCATTTTATCAAACTGCTGGCATATGATACAAAAGCCTTTTTCAGAATGCAAAACAGTTTAGAATTTTCAAGCAGAAATTGCAAATGAGTGAGTCAGAAATTTTAAGACTTTTAATGCGATTTTATTTTATAAAATTTAAAGCTTTGGTTTAGCAAAAGTGCCGCCCACACGATATAGTGGTTAGGGAAGCCTGACCGCGTTACCGAAGGGCCTTGGTTCAAATCCCAGAGAAGGCATGATTGTAACTGTCCGTTCCTTCATAGGAGGCGATGGTGGCTCACCTATTAGGTGCCTCCATAATAAAGAGACCACCACATCTGACCTTGTATAGATTAATGGACTGGGCTACATTGTAACTGTTCACAATCTGCCATTAGAAAAAAAAAATAAAAAAAGGTTAGCAAAAGTTGACTTTTACTATGTCATGCTCGTTAATTTTACATAAAAGTCGATTGAATGTCTTAACGCTGAAGTGTCAGAACACGTTATTGGACTAATGATTCATGTTCTTAATTTTTAAGTTTGTAAATGACTTCAAATACGAAAAATGAGTCTTTTTATCACTTCCTTAACAATAACAACAAAAAATGCTGTATGCGTCGTGTTTCTTAAATGGTTATCAACGTAATCGCATATTATCAAAAAAGATAAAACAGAAAACCTAGAGTTTAAAATGCTCAACATGAGAAATATACTTGGTAAAAAAGAATAAAAGGCGTAATGCATGTTAAAAATGTGTATATATTTCATGCGTCAGTGCATCACCTAAATACAAGTTTAAGTGCATAAATAAGTACAAATGCGCAAGAATGCAGTAATATTTATAGGTGCAATAATGCTTATAATTTTTTTTTTTTTAGTTTGGACGTTATTCTTGATATGAGGTTGGCTTTGGTTTACTTAATAATGGCAAAGCACTAGAAGTAGTTCATATAGATGTTATACATGGGAACAAAACCAAGACAAAGCCCGTGCAGCCAGCTCGTTCGCCGGGATTCGAACCGCAGACTGAACTACCAATGCTCAGCGACTTTACCGCTCGTCCGTCGGTAGGCAGATTTCTACATTTCATTCACCTCAGTGATTATTATAATATCTAAAGAAATCCTTACATGCAGTTATTGTATTACAGATGGTCCTTCATTGATTGCAGCATTATTTATTGCATTGAATAAAAGATGAAATAGTTGATGATTTGTTTCAACTCTCTTCATATTTATCAAAAGTTCTATAAATTCTAAATGTTAATCATAAATCCTAGATTGCAAAATTTGGCATTTGTTAGTTGAAGGTGATTTTGTACTGTATTCACTAGCTAGGAAAATTTGAATAAAGGAAAAGTAAAGCTATGCTGAAATATTTTTGGTTTGAAACTTTTCTTTTTTTGTTCGGAAGATAACTAATTTCGTTGAATGCTGAATTTCAGAATTTTAGCCGAAGAAATCGTAAAACGTAAATGTCGTTTAAACCAGATTGGTTCAAAGAAAGGGAAACAAAGGAACTTTATGCTTTGTGATATACTACCTTTTATCTCTAAAATGAAAACGGAAGAAGTATTTTTAGTTTTAGATAGCAATATAAGCAGTACTGAAAAATAAGAAAAATTCATGCCTGAAAAATAAAATTTGTAATCGTTTGAAGTTGATATGCATTAATTTCACGAAATACGGAGAGTACTTCCTTTTTTTCATCTGAGATGCTCTTTTATCAATCAATTGAAGAAGATGAAATGCGGTAAATGAAGATTTTCATTAAAACTGTTAAGGAATTGAACATTTAGTATTAGCACTGCGTTTTTAAATTTATAAAATAGTCGAAATCCTGGGGTGGCATCAAGAACCAATAGAGTCTTGTCTGTAAGGGTTAGTGTACTTGCCTTTATCTAATCTTTTTTTTCCAATTTGTCATGAGGGTGAGTTAAAATATTTTATTTTGTAGCTTATGTTTTATTAACAAGGAAGAGCACAGCACAAAGACAAGAAATTGTCCCATCTTATTTTCAGAATATCTCGAAAAAATTCGGATTTTATATTTATATAAGTTTTGCCGTCAGTATTATATCAGTCATTTCAAAAGTTTGAAAACATTACGTATAAACTAAGAGTTATTATCACTGAATATAAATTTAATGTAACATTAAAACTGAATATAACTAAATATTACTGAATATAATATTTATTGTACTGAATATAAATATTCGTTAAGAATAATTGAAG